CGGCCGGGGCCCCGGGCGGGGGCGCGGGGGCGGGCCCGCAGGCCTGGGCGTTGCCCCCGCGCCTCACTCAGCCAGTGAGCGGGAGCCGGTCCATATGTGGGATCCGAACCCTCGGACGGGAGCGCCGCCGCGCTTCCCAAGCGGCGCACTATCCAGTGCGCCACCGGGCCGGCCCTTGCGCATACATTTTTTAAAACTTGTAAAACAATCACAAAATACATACAAAAAGGGAGAATTCTAAACATGTATCCTGTGGCAAAAAGAACTAAAGTTTAGGGATGGCCTGTTAGCTCTCTTGGTTAGAGCGCAGTGTTGGTAACACCAAGGTCAAGGGTTCAAGTCCTCATATTGGCCATGTGCCAAAAAAACACACTAAAGTTTAGAAAATGAAAATAATGGAACTGTATTGTATCTGTATTGTATACCCTAATCTGTAACTTACTTTTTACACACTTAACAGCATAACATGAACATTCTCCCATATTAAATATTCTCGCACAACATGAATTTTAGCAGTTGTGTGGTAACCTATCACAAGAAATATTTGCTTAACCAATTTTTTATCATCAAACCTTTAGGTTGTTTCCCATTTCAGACAAATGTTTTGCAAATAAAGGAAAGAATAGCCCTTTGGGGCGAACACAGTCCAGGAGAACAGAGAAAAACCTGCAGCCATCTCTTCCCCCTCACTGACCCCATCCTGTGAGGTCTACGCCCAGGCTTTCCAGACCAATTCTTGGAGCACTGCCAGGTCCCAGAGCCAACTGGCCTCTAACCCTTGCCTTTTCCCTATGGAAGGGCAGAGGCTCTGCTATGTCTGTCCTGGATCTGGGATCATTTTCCACCACAAAGCACAATCTGGTCCATGGGCAGTTCTGGCACCCCCTGCCCAGTCCCATCCATAATTTTCCCACTTGCCAAGTTCAAGGTCCTTGGGGCTCTGATGGCACAGAGATAGGTATAACATTCTCATACTGGGGCTCCTCCTGCTCTTCCTCTTCAGCCTGCTTCTGGGGATTTTCTTCCGTGGGGCCACCTTTGGAGACCAGTTCCCGGGCTGTCCCTGAGCTCTCAATGCCATCCCCCAGGCCCCTGGCCCCTTCATCTGGCCTGACTCCTGTAGATGCCATGGCCCCAGTGAGCTCGGCATTCGTGGCTGATCCAGGGCTCTGGCTGGCAGAGCCAGAGGCCAGCCCAGGGCTGCCCTTGTTCCGACTCAGGGCCCGGCGTGGAGGCTTAGGGATGGCACTCTTGAACTTGGGCTCTGCCTGGCCTTTCTGGAAGCTACCAAAATGGCGGAGGACAGACCGGACAGGGCCCTCAGATCCTCGGGGCGTCCCTGCCAGCATGTAGATCGTGGTTACAGCGCCTGAGCTGTCCTGGACTTTACCTTCAATGTCTTCCACACGCTCAGCCACCGTCCGACCACCAAGCAGGAGCCGATGGCGGCCAGTGGTTGAGTCCCTGGGGCTGGCGGCAGCAGGAGGGGCCTCGTCCGTTTCTGCTTGCTCCTGACCTGTGGACTCCTCAGCCTCTTGGCCCTCAGGACCTGGCTGGGCCCCTCGAGAGAGCCTCTTGGGCTTTCGGAGAGGGCTGGAGAGCTCCCCAGAGCTTTGGCGACTCTGCGGAGCAAACTTGGTGCCTTCAGCAAAGGAGACTGACGGCCGTTTAGCCCGGGCTAGGCTGGATGTGCGTGGGATGGCGAATGGCGTGGAGGCTTCCTCAGGGGGAGGGAAGGAGCCTCCAGCCAGGCTGGCCTCTGACGACTCTGCTTGGGCCATGGGAACCATCCCTGGCAGAGGAGACAGAAGAGTGTGGCTGGAGCTGGGCTGAACACCCCAGTTCATCCTACCTACAGCTCAGCATCTTCTGAGGAACCTCAAAACTTGGGCATGGAAGAGGGTCAGGATGCCAAGCGAGGCAGGGAAGGAGCAATTCAGGTGGACACCACTGCTTCTACACTCTTCTCACCACCTCTCCCTTCTTTGACCTACTGCCGCACTCTAACCAAGCTTAAACTCTTCCAATGCCACACAGCCATGTCCCTCTTAGCTCTGGGATTTTGTGTACGCTGTTCTCTCTTCCTGAAACATTCCCACTTCTCTCTGACTCTAACTTGGCTAAGTCCTACTGACTCTGCTGGACTCAACTCCAGTATCACTAACACAGACATCTTCCATGATCCCAAGCACCCCTGACATGGATAGATTATGGGCCCTTCCTGTACATCCCCTTCAAAACATATATCACTCTGTCTGATGACTTGCCTGGCGACTGCCTCCCAGACTAAGCTTGGTGAGAACAGGAATCTGTCTTATTCTTTACTGAGTCCCAGAGCCAGGAATAGTGGCTGGCACAGAATAGGCACTTGATCGACATTTGTGGAAGGAGTAAAGAAGAGGTTGTGGTGGGCCTGGCTGTTCAGGGACTGAGTGAGCTGTTGGGGGGCTACCTTCTCGGGGTGGCACACAGTAGGCAGGACTGTCCTCTTCCTCTCCAGACTCGGCATCAGAAGAGAAGGAGTCGTCAGAGGCCCAGCCGGCCGAGGGTGGCTCAATGAAGCTGTGGTTGAAGGGGATCTCCGGGTCGTGGTGCGAGACTGTAGGGCCTCCAGGTCATGCACAGAGCCTGATAGGAAGCCTTGTCCCATCCCAGCCCCCAACCCCAGTGCCTACTTACCTGTCACCCAGGGTAGCTTGTGGCTGCTGAGGGAACCACAGGGCAGTGCAGAGCCCAAGCTGGTCAGTGTCCCCCAGACCTGCAGCTTCATCCTGGACACGGCAGCTCCATTTCTTACTGGCCTGAAGGGGTAGGATAGGGAGGGTGGTCAGTGCACAAGACCTAAGGTGACCTGTGTCACCTTGGCAGGGTGTGGCATCGTGACTACATCTACTTCAATGTCTATCGAGGGGCTGGCCATTGGCTCACTTAGGAGCGTGGTGCTGATAACACCAAGGCCACAGGTTCGGATCCCTATATAGGGATGGCCGGTTAGCTCACTTGGGAGAGTGTGGTGCTGACACCACCAAGTCAAAGGTTAAGATCCCCTTGCCAGTCATTAAAAAAAAAAAAAAAAATGTCAACTACAGAATAAAATCCAAACTATTGAGCCCAAGATTCAGGCCTGCCACAGAAGGCAGTGTGGCTCTACAGTCAGATAGGCCTGGGTAACAATTCTGGCTCAGATTTCACCTCCCTGAGCCTCAGTTTCTTCATCTGTAAAGTGGGGACAACAATCCTATCAAAGCTTTTTGCAAGATCCAGCATAGTGCTGGCACCTGGTGGGGGCTCCCCAAAATGCAGCTCTTTGTTATTATCATCCTAGCTGAGCCCAGCACACCTATCTCAAAAGGCACCCTGTCCAGGAAAACTGCCCTGGTCCCCACTCTCTTCCACCCCTAAGCTGGAAGTGACTGTTTCACTTGTCACCATTCCTCTGACAGCCTTTGTACATGTACTTGTGCTCCTGTGAGGGGCTTCTCTGCATCCCCAGGCTCCGTGCCCTGCAGCAGGGGCAACTGGATCTGCTCGTCCATGACTGCCCCACAGCACAGAGGAAGACATGCTCAAGGATTAGAGCGTGAACTACTAAGAGCACTGGACAGAGTCCAGAAAACTGGGCAGGGGCTTTGTGCGTGCCAGTGACAAACTGAGCCACATTGGGCCTCAGTGTCCACTTCAAATCCAGGGTGATAATACTCCTGCTTCCACATTCCCTGTTCCATACCTCCATGCTGTTGTGAGTCTCAAAGGTGCCAAGGGATGTGAAGAGGTTTTGTAAAGGAGCAAAGCTCTGTGTGAACAATGTTTGTCTGCAGCCAGGGTTCCCACTAACCCACTCCTTCCTCCCCTCTCCATCTCTCAGAAAGCCACATTCTCTGCTAAACTGCTGCACAGACTTTTATGTCACTCTCCTTTCTGGGGTGTTTGAGGCCTGGTCTCTTCCCCTCCCTGCCCAGAGCAGATCTGCTTCTTCTGTGTGCACTGCCCTCCTCCTCTGGTCCCTGTTAGTAAGCTCTCAGCCTCCTGCTGCAGGTTTGAGTTTCCACAGCCTGGAGCCCAGGGCACCCTAGTCATGCTCATGCAACTTGGCAACTTCCCCATCAGAGCTTCAGAGGAAGGCAGGTGGCTGACCTGGTACCTCCAGGCCTGGCCACTGCTAACTACCTCCATTACCTCTAACCTACGTGTGTGACAAGGCCAGCCCTTCCCCAGCTCTGAAAGGAAACCAGATGCCACCTTGCTCCCACTCCATGGCCTGAGCTGTGGGGTGGGAAAGGGACAGGCCAGTGTTCACCTGTCCTTGGGATCCACCCGGGCAGCCCAGCAGCAGCAGGCACAGCAGGCGATGCCCAGGAGCAGCAGCAGCAGAGGCACGAGGATGCCCGCGATGAGGGCAGCATCCTGCCCATGAGGGCCTGGGAGGGGCAGGAGAAGGTCAGATATTAGGGGCCTTCCTAGCTCCCATGCATCATGTCCCATCTTCAGCTCTGAGTTGCCTCCTCCCCAGAGTATGTACCTGTGGTCCCCTCCTCTAGGCAGCCTCTCTGCTGGTCTGCTCCCTCCTGGTGGTAAAGGACCCATTTCACAAGCTCTTGTCCCTGACTCTCATGCCATACCAGTGTCCGGCCCTGCCGGCTCATTTCTTGGCTCTAGCCTGCTTTCTCAGTGGGCAGGATCTCTGTCACCTCTTCAGGAGCCCCCAAAGCATCCACACAGGTTTCAGGCATAGAGGATGTCTCTGAAGGGGCCCAGCCTCCCCAGCAAGTGACAGGCCCCTGGAGTCCATGTAAAAGGCCAAACTTTCCCTGGTTACCATTCTCTCCACCTTACCCAGCTGGCAGGCCCCAGACAGAGGGTGGCAGGGTCCCTCTGGGCATTCGCAGGGAACTGAGCAGTTGTTTCCATGGAAGCCAGATGGGCAGGAAGTGTTGCAGCTATGGGGTAACAAGGAGAGGCAGGCTAAAGGCTAGGTGAAAGGGGATGGAGGTGGGCAGGGGAGAGGAGAAGGTAGATTTCTGGGCACTGTCCCCACCCCCTGCTGTCAGCCTTCCCTGGATGATGCCCAAGCAGACCCCTCCAACCTCTGAGGCACATTCTAAGTACCCTGGCAGTATTTGGGAGCATCCCTCAGCCCCTAAGCCCATCTTCTGAGGAGACCACCAATAAAAATAGCTACCCAGCTGTTCCCTGCCCAGTGTGCAAACCCTTGGGGCAGGGTCTATCTCTGACCATCCTCATCCCCCTGCCCACCCAGCACAGATGTGAAATAAGCAAGATGCCAATGGCATCCAAGGAGATGCCCTCAGCATCTGGAGGTCTGAGCCAGGCCCAGCCCTGCCCCTAACTGCCTGGGCCTCAGTCCTCTCCTCTGTAAAATGAGATCTCTTCCATTTGACACGACATGTTGTCCTGTGTGTTTAGGAAGAAAACCTAAATGGAGACACTGATTGTTTTGCCACATGAAGACCTTAGAGAAAGGATAATGGGGTTTGGAGCCCTGCCTCTAAATAAACTCCCCATCTAGTTAGGGAGCTGGTCCTTTTAGATAAAGCATCATCTGACTTTGCTTTGGAAGATGCAGACCCCACAGCAGGAGCAGTGACTCCTCAGTTATGGGGATGCTGTATCTGGGAGGCACAGAGGCTCAGGAAGGGAAGTTTAGGAAACAGGTTGCACAGAGGCCTGACCTAGGCCCTGGTACTCTCCTGCTCCCAGCACCCTAGTCCTCACCTGGGCCCCCAGTAGCCGGCGTTGCAGATACATTCACCTGTCACAGCATCGCAGGCCCCCTGAACACAGGTGGGGCAGGTAGAGCCACAGCCCTCCCCAAAGGTGCCAGTCGGGCAGGGGTCTTCACACCTGGGGTGAGACAAGACTCAAGGAATGGGAGGGCAGGGCAGGCCTGGCCCCTGCAGTGGGGGCCCTATCCATCTTCCCCATGCTCCTGGACTCGTTGACTCAACTGGCTACTCCTCAGCTGTGAAGCTCAGGTGCAAACATGGCCTTGCACTGGGGGCCAACCCAGTAGACGACAGACTACAGATCCCTAGTGAGGGAAGAGGACAGGAGCCTAGTGGTGGGGGAGCTGGAAGAGAATCCTGCCCAGGGCCCCCAGCACCCATCTCTCTCTCTTTCAGTCTTCACCAGGAGGCAGGCCCTAGAGGGCTGTGTGAATGTGTGTTTTGGGGTAGGGCAACTCTCCCAGAGGGAGCAGCTGGGGTGAGGATTCTGAGGGAAGGTGTATCCCATCCTAGCAGGGTGGTCCCCTCACCTGGGCCCCAGCCAGCCAGGGTCACAGTGCTGACAGTGCCCAGTGTCTGGCTGACAGGCTTCCCCAAGTCGGCAGCGGGGGCACTGCTGCCTGCAGCTCTCGCCAAAGGTGCCAGGTGGGCAGGGCTTACGACACTGGGTTCCGTTCCAGCCTGGCTCGCAGGACTCACAGCTGCCTGTGTCTGGAGAGCATGGCTCATTCTGCTTGCAGTGGCCACAGCTGCGAAGAGAAGGGGTCATGGGAGCACTGGGGGTGGATGGATGGAGCGCCCACCCCTCCAACCCGTGCAGTGCCCATCCAGGACTTCAGGAGCACTGGAGAATGTTCAGGTCCCAGCTGGGTCAGTCAGGAAAGTCTGAGCCTGCTTCCCCAGGTTGCACAAGAGGCTGGACAGATGATCTCTGAGGGCTGTCACAGGATGCCATCCCTCTCCACCTAACTCCTTGCTCTGTGACCCATCCTTTCCTGGGTCCCAGGGCCACCAGGAACTACCAGCCCAGCCAGGGCAGCCAAATTACCACCCCAACCTTCTGCCCAGCTTTTCCCTCCTACCCTTTTCCTTCTCCCTTCCACATCACGCTACCCTGACATCTGGCATGAATGGGACTTGGTAGTTTATCTTCTACCTTATAACACACAAAAAATGCTTAAAAATAAAATATAAGGGCTGGCCCGTGGCTCACTCGGGAGAGTGCGGTGCTGATAACACCAAGGCCACGGGTTTGGATCCCATATAGGGATGGCCGGTTGGCACACAGGGTGAGTGTGGTGCTGACAACACCAAGTCAAGGGTTAAGATCCCCTTACCGGTCATCTTTAAAAAAATAAAATAAATAAATAATAAAATATAAACTGTTTCCACCACTATAATTTACCTTATCTTAGTTTCCCATTGATGCTCAACAGTAACTTGAAGTTTCTCCCTCCAGATACTTAATTATCTGGGATCATATTCTTGGTTCGATTCATTAGTGGGGGGCAGGGCGAGAGTTTATAAAATCAATTTAGCTGATCTTGACCAGCATTTAAAAAAAAAGAAAAGAAAACATTGCAGTGTATATATATGTATTAAAGATAAATATACAAAAACCAAAAAGATAGATAAAAAACAAAAACACGGGCCGGCCTGTGGCTCACTCGGGAGAGTGCGGTGCTGATAACACCAAGGCCACGGGTTCGGATCCCTATATAGGGATGGCCGGTTAGCTCAATGGGTGAGCGTGGTGCTGACAACACCAAGTCAAGGGTTAAGATCCCCTTCCCTGGGCCGGCCGGTGGCGCACTCGGTAGAGGGCGGCGCTCCCGCCTAGGGTTCGGATCCCATATAGAGACCGGTCCGCGCGGTGTGGGCATGACACCGAGGGTTGCGATCCCGTTGCCGGTCGTGGTACGAGCGCGACACCGAGGGTTGCGATCCCGTTACCGGTCACGAAAAAAGACAAAAAGGAAAAAAAAAAAAAATAATAAACCAAAAAAATAAAAATAAAATAAAATAATTAGGAAAAAGTTAAAAAAATGATAAATACGTGTTGTCTGGTTAAACTTTCAGTTACACAAAATAAGTTTGTGTTATACGTGTTAGGTGGGATGTGAGATTTCTTACTGTGAGTGGAGCCGGTCAAAGTGGGAAAGCCACTGAGTCTTAAAGGGACCTGCTATCTTTCTGTTACATGATTCATTCTTTATCTGTTTTTTGTTTGTTTTTTGGCTTTTTAGCGGCTGTCTGGTAAGGGCATGGCAGTTTATCTAAGTATGGCTTGCTAGTACTAGTATTTTTGTGCTTAACAGTAATTGAGTGAAAGGGGCATGCGGGGCTGAACCTAGGGGCATCGAGGAGGTTTCCCTCCATCTCCGCCTTGTGCACTTTTTTGGAGAGCTCCGTGGCCCCCGACCCCGGCTCACCTGTCGCGGCACTGCGCCCCGTAGCTGCCGGCAGGACAGGGCCGCTCGCAGCGCGGGCCGCGGAAGCCAGGCGGGCAGGCGCACTGGCCGGAGGCGGCGCTGCAGCGG